AGCTCTAGCACAGCCGGGCAGTGGCAGAGTCTGCCCGTGGCCACCACACAGCCAGGCAGAGCTCAGGGGAGGAGGGGGACTCCCTCTGTCACATCCGCACTCCCTATTTTCCAACTGCATTTTCTTGCCGAGTGCAGATAAATGAACCTGGTGTTTAAGTGCCAGTTCATGTACATAGACCAACCACTTGTTTGCTGTTACTGCTTTAAGGAGCGTGTCACCATGCTAAATGTCAATCAGGTGTATTTGCCACATCATTTTAAAAATGCAAGGTCATGTATTCTCCCCTGGGAGCCAGTGAACTCGCCACGAACAGGTCCAGGCTCACACGGTCTTGCCTTGTTCGGGAACCAGGGAGGAGCAGGTTTTGTTCTGAACGTGAAGCCAGGGTTGGCTTTGAAAATCAGGCGAGGGGATGCATCGCATCACCTCAACAGCAGTTGCCATCACACCAGTGAGGAAATACAGCAGCTGCCTTCATGTAGTTCTTCCAGTTAGCTACTCACATTCTTATCGTTTAGTGGTGTCTCATTAATACTGTGGCAAAAACGTAACTGTCAAGGGGGACGTGCGTGGTGGACTCCCACCTAGCTGTGCTCAGGAGCAGAGCTGCTTGGAGACCTTCAAGTAGCAAATTAGGTTGGCCTCAGTTTTACAGCTCTGCTGAAGCACGGGGGACTGGCAAGAGGGAAAACAAGTCTTTAAAGAAAGGCATCACAAAGAAGCAGTTCTGCTGGTAGCCACAGATGGGCACTAACTTAGTAACAGTGTTGAGTATCTTTCCCTTGCTAGACTTCTGGAAGTTAGTCTACAATTCTCCGGGCTTGGTTTCCCTCTGAGATCAGTTGTCTCTACCAACCTTAGTAAATAACCCCCTCTCCTAAACAGCCACTTTTCTGTTTCATGAATCGGCTTGTTCCCCGTGGAGTTAAACCAGCGCACCAGGTTTCTCCACCAGTCACACGGGTAAGTCCTTTACCTCATACCACGCGGGCTGCCCGAGCTCCCAGTCCCAGCTGCAACGCTGCTTGGGGAGGGACCAACACCAACACCAACACCTCCACCAGCAGTTCTGGGTGTGGTGGGGTTTTGGTCGCTGGTCAGGTAGAGGAAAGTCAAAGATGACCCTGAGCTCTCACATGAGTTCAAAAAATGAGGCCAATACCTTTGGTAGAAGGGGAAGGCAGAGTCCCAGCTCATCATTTAGAGTCTGGAGGTTGTGGCAAGCTAATATTAGATATTATAAACACACAAAGAAATGATCCTTCTGAGGAAAAAAGAAACGGCAGAAAATAAAAAAAGAAAAGGTTATTAGGCGATTGAACGCTCAGACTTTGAAAAAAGCCACTATTTGCCACCTTCTGGGGTCCATGCAGTCTGGTTCCGTCAGGCAAGCGAGTGATCAGCCAGTGATTTGTGGAAGTCCTTTAAGAAAATAGGCCACTGCTGGGTGTGTGAGTAACTAATGCTCATTTGGTTTGTGTTTGAAGGCAGCAGCGGCAACAGTGATGACACAAATTAATTGCACAGTTTTCAGGAGATAATGCAGACGAGGTAAAGAGAATTACTATGCGATTAACATAGTTTCCAATTAAAGTCCCCTGCAGTTACTGAAAAACATTAATTTCTAGTAACTTGGTAATTTAACTTGTGTCACCACTGTACACAAGTGCACCAGGGCAAAGTATGGGCTGCTCTATGCTTCAGCCTTGTATGAAAAACATGAAAAAAAATATCTCAATATATCTCAAAAAATATCTCAAATAGCCATTAGTTTTTAACAACCGTTTGTAGCAGGCTTCAAATAAAGCACCACTGTGGTAACTAAAAGATTTGCTCACAGATTAAAGGACCAAAACCCAGGTGCTGTTCTAGCACCGAAGTTTTTCTTGCTCTTAGTCAAATAAGGAAAAAAAATCCACTATGTAAATAAACTCAGCAAAGGTGTTTCAGCCATTATGGTTCTTTATCAACAAGTCACAAAAAGACTGAGACGAATCAAACTCTTTCGCCCATCCAGAGAAGTTTGCTGTTGGGATGGCAGAACTACATTTTTAACACTTACATACTGTAGCTCTTCTATTTCCCTTAGACCATTTCTATTACAAGAGTGCCAAACCAAAGGTCTTTTGAAGAGCAGCTCATTTCGGGGGACACAGCTAGCTTAGGTGGGTACGTGCGCATGGGATTTTCTGTGGTACCTGACCTTCAGCCAGGGCAGTTCAGGAAGAAGGAAAATTCATCCTTTAGTTCCCATCTCAGATAAAGCTCGAAGTGTCCTCAAAGCAGGACACTGCTGTCCCGCAGCGGGACGGAGCAGCCCGTGATGTACTTGTGAGCGTGCAGCAGACCAAGAGGTACAAAAGCTAAGAGGTGGAAACCTCGCAGAATTATCAGGCCTGAGCAGTTTTGGTTTAGTCCGATAACAAAATGCAATCAGCAAGTAGCGTCATTACTGTTTTTATCACGTGCATTTCCAGAACATCCGTCTGTTCTCCCGCTGCCTGTTCCAAACCGTCAGTGTACCTGGTGAGCCCCATGGGAAGAGTCGTTCCTTTGATGTCTTCCCGATTGCCAAGCTTCTTCCCAGCTGACAGCTGCAGTGGGGTAGGGTGGATAAAGTCTTTCAAAACATATGTGGGTCTTCGTCTGTATGGCTTGAGACATATATCAATGTTGTACAGTAACTTTCATTAAAAGAAATAAAATTGGGGAAAAAATGGGAAAAAAGAAACATAATTGGGGAAAAAGGTCCACTGTCCAGCTATATATTTTTGTTAGTTTCACATAATTCAGGACCACTTTCATCTTCATTACAAATATCACCCACTCCTGCGCATTAAAGCCTCTGAAGCTTATTACATTTTATTATTACTACAACAACAGAAGCTGTACATGGAAAAGACGTTACTGATTCAGCTAATCCGCTGAACGCAGGTTGTGTTTTACTGTGCATTTGTTAGCCTTTGGGCCAGTCTGGTTTTTAACCACTGTACTGGGTAAGACTTTGCACAGTTCTGGGCGAGACTATCAGCCAGCCCTGTATTCCCCTGCAGGAAGCTTTTCCGTGAGCATCTTCCCCTTGCCCAAAGACGTCTGTCCTTTCACCATTCCCTCAAACTCCTCTCCCCCTCACCAGTGCACACCCCGTCGTAAACTGCAGCGCTTCCCTCCCTCCCTAACCGCGCTCTTCAGCCACAGAGCAGCAAAGCCACAGAGCTACAAGTTAATCTTCCTTAAATCCGTCCCCGCGGGCTCCTGATCATTGTCCCTGTTCTTCTGTGCGCTTTAATTAGTTAATGCCTTCCTCGTGGAAAGGTAAGCAGAAAGGAGAGCATCAGTGAAACCAGATTATACCAATTATATCCCCCTGCTCTGTGACAGAAGCTTTTAACGCTGCAGTGTAGGATTGCATTTTTTTTTTTTTAATGTGAAAGCAAAGTACAACTTCATGTTTAATTTCCTGCCCGCTGCTACCCAAAGGAACCACTCAACGGTTTTGCATTATTTTTGCTAAAGCTACATTAACTTGTGCTTCGCTAAACAGGAATCTTCTATTTTCTAGCTCTCACTGACATCCACAATTCTCCTCATTTTGACATCTAAATTCCATAAATATGTTGTTTACTCCCTCTTCTGGGCTATTAATGAAAAATATTAAGCAAGATCAAGCCAAACACTCTCACATACATGCAGCATCTAAAAGTAATATTATGCCAATTATTAGTAGGATTCAACAGTGCAGAAGTTACTAATTTAGATAAATGATGTGTGGGTTGGTGGTTTTTTTTCCTGAAAACAAGTGAACGCAATCTCATTTTGGCTTTTTGGAATATTAACTCAATTAACACATGCAAATGCACACGCCAGCCCTGACACATACACGTACTTGATCTAGTTCTGCCTGAAATGTATCTATTAGTCACTTCTTTCTCATAAAAGGGAAAAAGGTGCTTTAATGAATACACGTGATGCTTATTATTTGGATCGGCAACATTTGTGCCTCCTGTGCCTCAACGGCACTTAGAATAGGTTAACATTTGGTTTATAACACAACAATAAAATTTGCCTTTATTGCAGATAAACAGAGTATTCACACCTTACAATATTGTTTTAGATGCAGGATTATATTCACTCTTAGTCAATCTAATATTAATATAAAAGGCACATGCATTTAACGTTTTCACACCTTTTTTATTTTCCAAGCAGTGTTAATATGTATTTTTAAATATTGCATTTTACTTTGTTAAAACATGAAACTATTTATGTACATTTGTTTGCAATCTGAGAACACACACCATCAAGTAATCATTTGTACAGTAATAACATGTATCAAAACAAAACAAAACAAAAAAATCACAGCCCAAAATTTTTACCATCCACTCCCCCATTTGCTTTGATTGAAAAGCTGCGCTAACAGGAGGGAAACCTCAACATTATACTAGTTGAAACAGGAAACAAACACCGCTCTCTTCTAATAATTGTCTTTAGCTGCTTTGATTGGTTGCAGTTAATATTAATAGTATAACCTTTAAAAATTGTGGGGAAAGGTAATACTTTATCTTCACTCCTCGTATTAAGGCTCCAAAGCAAGCTTAATGAGAAACCATTATAAAATCATACTGCTAAATAGTATCTTAACTCACAATTCAGCCTATATAATTATATCAGTATTGCAACTGACAATTACTACTGATATATCAAACTTACCTTTCTTACACTGTGCTGCTCAGGATGCGTGTCACGATTACAGCATGAACTATTATTTGGGCTTACGCAGCGAGACAGACGAGAGATCTACCCTTACCAACATGAACACAGAACTCAAATTTTGCTTACAAACAGAAATAACATGGTCTCAAAACCTACGGATATGCGCCCGCAACATAAAACCCACGTGCGTCTAGCAGCCTCTGCTCAGGGTTTGTCCTGGACTGACACGAGATTAGGGTGACGAGTTTGGCTGTAGGGACTGGCCAAGCTTTTTAAGAGGGCAAGACCAGGCCATAGGCACACCGCAGCACACCTGGCTCTAAACAATGCCTTCTGTCTTCACTGGCACAACAAACTCATCCAACTAGGAGTAACCAAAAATAATTAGCAAGTGCGTTTACCAATGACATTTTAAAGACTATGAACATATAAAACATTATAATCTCTATGAAAATAGACCAATTTCAGCACAGGCTTGCCTTTCGAGGGGAGGGGGGACACATACATTCTTTATTTTTTATTTTTTAAAAGGCAAGTGTTCTCCTGGACAGCTGCCAATAATCCTGTGTAAAATGTCCTTAAAGCAAGACAAACTCCTCCGTACTATATCTTTTTAATCTTTTCTTTTCATCCTCAGAAAAAAGGTTGTTTTCTTCATGGAGCGGACTGGAAGCAAAGTCATAGTCTCTGGAATGACCCTTCACAAAAGTAAACAAGGGATATTTCTCCTTAGATGAAGATTTCAGCATCTACAATGTAAAACACATACCCGGTAAAACGTTAATAGGAAATGAAGAAATACAGTAAGTAGTGATATTTATCTGACAGTGACTGCAAAGTAAAAAAAATGCATTTTTTATTTTTATTATCATCATATTAAAACAAAAGCTTTGCACAATCTAAACATCCCCTCCTCCCGTTAGACAAACATTTACTTCCATTTCTTCTTCAGGTAGCTGCTGATTTGATGCCTAACCCTGCCTCTCGTTCCGTACGGATCACCTCTACCTGCTGTTTGTTTCACTGCAGCTGGAGCTCTCGTAGGAAGATAAAATACTCGACAAAATAGTTAATGGCCGTAACGTTCTCCTCAAACACAGGTACGAATTCTGCAGCAACTAAGCATCTCAGAGAGGTATTTTTATTGTAGAATCAGCGTCTACAGTAATCAATGTTTTTATTAAAAGTTTAAACACATACACCTATGTAAATAAGCCAGTCAAGAGCACATGGCTACAACCAGATTGATGACAGTAACAGGCTGTGGTAACCAGGGTGCCAAAAATCTACATTTATAAATAAGAAAACCGAGCATGTAGAAGGCAGGTGGCGGGGAATGATAAATACTAAAACAGATCAGCAAAATACCTTTAATAGCAGATAAAAGTCATCCAAATACTGAAAGACATTTCAGCCTTTCAGGCTGTTTCAGACACTTAATTGTTCACTGATTTGGGTTTTTTAATTATTTTTTTAACGTCTTACCTGCTTTGAAAAATCAGCACAGTGATGCAGTGACATGCAGAACTACATTAGCCTAGAGGTACACACTATGTGGAACTAAAATCACTACACCTGATTTCATGAGAACAATTAATCTAAAACAGTAAAAAACCCTACATAGATCTTTAAACAGTAAGAAAAAAGGACAGCTGGGGCAGGGGGGTGTTTAAAAAAAATAAATCAATCACACTCACAGTAAAATCCTTGATTTTTACTGTGGTCTGAAATTTTCCACTTTATTGTAGTCTATTTTAATTGCATTTGGCTATTGTAATGTGAAACTGGGTAAAAAAGCAAGGAGATACAGGAGAGACATGCACACAGTAATAAGCAAAAGCAAAAGAAGAGCAGCAAATGAGCATTAGGAAGAAAAAAAGTTTGTAAGATGTACAAAGGCTTTGTTTCTTGAGAAGACTAGATAATTGGATGCAAACCCTTTCATCTCTAGGGGCTGAATACAAGCGGGCTTAGTCGGAACAGAAATTGAGAGCCACACGAAGGCTGTTCGCTGGTCTGTGAAGTGGACGGGTGGACTAAGGCCAGCTCCTAATTGCAAGTTTGCAACAGAACACTCATCACTGCATCCCAGGGAAGGCACGGCGACTGAACAACCACTGCACCTTTAAAGGTGGTCCCTCCAAATCGGGACAGAAATACACCCGCAGTTCCACTGCCCTTGTCCGTGTTCAACCCTCCCCAAAACCTCCTTCTCTGCAGGCAGGTGTAATACCTCTCACTGGGCACTACGGGAGGTGATGAAATGCAGAATGTAAACGGGGCAGACAGGGAAGTGCCTAAACAAGAGTCGAGTGGAACTTGGTTAAGATTACTGCAATTATTATCAGGCTATATCGCACTCAGCGATCACAGATAATTTGAAACTCTAAAGAACTTGCGAGTTCTTTGGATACCACCGTGATGATTTCTCCAGAGAAGTTGACCGATAAACATCACTATTTTTTAGTATTTCAGTGTTAGACTTAGACTGCTACTGTTGTCGCTGCAACAATTAATTCTTTGTGCTGAACTGCATCCAAGTTCAACGCTCAATCAGTCCAGTTCTTCAGAGAACTTTTCATTTCTGCTGAGAACCTGGGCTCCAAACACGCAAATGCAGTTGTAGCCCAACTGGAGTATTTATTTGCTGTCATGGGTTTCGACAGGGAAACAATTCACTGCATTAGCAGAAAGACAAGCCTACTACCAGTAAAACAGCAACGTAAAGTAGCAGCAGAGGCTGCGGCCTGGAAAAGGCAGAGCCGTCCCAGGTGCCGAGCAAGGCCAGGGCTTCTTGCGGACCTCTTGGATCTGCCACATGGCGTTGAGAAGCCCAACAGGAACTGCGGTGCCTGCTCGGTATTTGTGCTGGAAAGTGCAAAACAGAAGTAAGACTACAGCCAGTCAGTAAATCCATCCTTCTCAGTCCTTCTCCTTAATCTATCAGCTATTTAATTCCAGGTATTGTTAAACTACTTAACGATAGCTGCCTACCTAGCAAGTACAGAAACCAAGGGTAACTTGAATGTGATTTGGACAGAGTTTCAACAATCGCTCTATTTGGGGCTGTGATTTCAATGCCCTAATTTCTCTATCACTCAATATATGGCTCATAAGGTTTATCCTCAAGTAATAAAAGCTAAATCTTTTCTCCCACCTCCTCCTGCCCAGAAAGGAAGCTAGAACCTGAATGTTTTAGTCTAGGCTACATAGGGCACACGGGGAGTACACTGCACTTTATAGTTCAAGAGTTATTGCACTCAAATTGCAAACAAAGGGAAAAATAAGGGAAGAGCAGGAAAAAACAATGGATGTGAAGGAAAGACTGAAAGATCATAGAATGTTTCTCACATTGTATTTGTATCCAAACCTTCCTCTATTTTCAAACTTACTGTGCCTGAAATACATTTATTTAAAATAATGTTATTAATATTGAAAGAACTACTATCTAAAGTGCCAGGATAATAGCTCCAAGACTTAGATCAGCCATGAGCATTTTCACAACATATGTTCAGAAAAAGAAATGTACTTAATCCCAAACTTGAAAGAAAAAAAAGGAGGAAAAAAGAGGAAGAGAACTTCCAGTGCAACCGATTTTGTAATTAGATTTTTTTTTTTTAAACAATGTTACTACATTCTTTCTTATACACAACAGAACAGGAAAACATGATAGAATGAAAGTGTCACTATTTAAACTTTCCATATATCTGTTGCTTAAGGACTTCCACTTATTTAAATCTATTTTCTACCTCTGTGTAAAAATCAAAGAAAACTTCAGTATCAATCAACATCTACTAAAGATTATATACAGTATTAAGTTTAAAATCTTTTTTTTTTTTTTTGCTATAATTCTAATGCCACTTAGCAGGACATTCAGAATGCTGTGCAAACGCTCTTTGTGCTGTTGGGATAACTATTGTGGTTAAAATATTAGTATTGCGACCACCTTCTGCTGCATCCTTTCATAGTCTTTTTTTTTTAAAAAAAAAAATAATCACAAAACACAGTTATTTGCTACCACTGTTAATGCAACATATTCATAAAGCTGTACTTCATGCACTCACATGCTGTAATAAGCAAGGAAAATAAGTCAATTATATTTGGACCTAAATGAACCTATACCGGTGTTTTTCCGAGTGGAAGGATGTGACAAGACAGATTTGCTGGGCGATACCTGTTCTGTAGTCTTCAAAACATTGTTACCAAATCATAAACACGCTGCTTTACATTGAAATGCCATCAGAAAAAGCACTGAAAAATAATACACTATTTTGGCTTGCTCAGATTCTTCCACTGCCACCCCCTGTCTGCCGAGGGCCCACCGCCTTTCGGCATTCCCGCCGGGCAGGGGGCAGTCCCGGCGCTCGGAGCGCCGCAGCAATATTCCCATTTCACGAGTGCCACCTCGTGGGCCCGCCTGTGCCAGCTCGGCCGCCCAGCTTCTCCCCAGCTTCTCCCTATAGGTAAAATCGGATAAAACGAAACACAATCTCGATTTCTCATGATTATAAAAGCAGCAATAAACATCAAGAAGAGAATGATGTCTATTTAGAAGAGCAAAGCGGATTCTCTCCCCTTACCCATACAAAGTACACACATGCTGCTCTGGCTGAGGAGTCGATTTGGTGACTTCGATGCCTACCTTCGTTATTTCTTCAGAAGCCTTCTCAAAGTCCTGCACAGTTCTACAATAAAATCCTATTGTGCAGCTCGGATCCATTTTTTTGAATGACATCTTTTTGGGAGAAGGACAGTGGAATGACTGCAAGTTTCAAGATTAAAAAACATGAAATATATGGTTAAGGTTGAGAATGGTACAGACCAATGCATTTACTTTTTTCCCCACTAACAGCTTTACCGTACAATGCCCTGTATCACTTGAATTAAAACCCAGCACACACTTCTGAAGTTCTCTCTTCCAACCCCCCCAACCCCGAAATGTTCAAGTAATTCCACTCTTCTCCCCATGTATAAAACCTCCTGCTGTTTACGCTGTATTCCCCAAACTTGCACACACCACCACGCTAGTTTGAAATCTGTCAAAGGTCTGCTGCTCCGAGCAGTACTTTATGAATATTCCCAAGGCAGAGGAGGTGAATGCTCTTCTGCAAATTGAATTTGTAACAGCTTTTGCACTATCTTACAATTACTGCTTTACTACCACCTCCCATTGCCCCTTTCCCTCCCCCAACCTCTATAAAAGAGACATAATGGAATAAACCAACCTCATGCATTTTCCTTCAGTAAATGAAATGGGTTAAAAACCCCACAAAAACCACAAACGCAAAGGTATATTACAATAATCCACAAGTAGGAAAAAAACAAACAACATGCCCTGCTTTATAAATGGTTTTTTCCTAACGTGAAATCTCTTTTCATGACAGATGATGCTGTGACAGTGCTGTGAACCGATACTATCAGCAGCCGTGCTATAAGAAAAAACAAACAAATACAAAAACCTCTTCCCCGCACTCCTCATTCACAGATTATGAGAGAAAAGGTAAGTATATGCTATCTACCCTCATTATGTGTTTATTTATTACAGGAACTGGAGTTCTGGTGAAGCTCATTGTCTAATAACTGAAATTATTTCGTCACCACTGACTGTCTCTCAAAGGTAGTCCTCTTTATTCCGCTTCTAACATGCAGAACTACCCCGTCATCCGACCTCTATTAAATCACTAGTGACCCTGCTACAGCTGCTCAGTAACAACTGCGAACACACTGCGTCTGCACCGCGCTGCAACAGGGATAGCGCGGTACTAAAACACAGATTTTGTTTTTCATGAACTTCCCCCAGTGATCGATATTCTCCAGCGAATACTCTGTGCTACTCCGTTTCACGTTTACATGTAAGCTGTACACAGCTCACAGCTCCTCTGGCGCAGCGCCGGCCAGCACAGGACCAGGACAGCTTACCAACACAACCGAACACCAGGACGGAGCCACGCAGGTGATTTCTTACCAACACCAGTGCGTTCCTCTGTAAAGGATAACTCACAACTGCTACAATAGAATTTGACTACAGCAACAGCAGCCCCTGACAGCTAACATCAAGCAATCTGGATACTAGAAACCCTTTTTATCTTTTATTTTAAATCTTTTTTTTTTTTTGCCAGTCAGAAAAGTCAATCTACAGAAGACGACGGTGCGTTACCTAATCTGAGAGTATCTGTCAGTTTAATAGTTTTACATATTGAAGTATATTGTTCTTTACTTGTGATTACAAACCTAAGAGAAGTATTTCTATTAAAGCTCTGCTAGAAAATACAAGCAAAGATGAGAAGTTCTATCCCTACAAGATTGATTTTAATCACTGTTTTTTCTCCTAATTCTGGTCAAATTTTATATGCAGAAATTCTATTGAGAACATTCATTCCTAAGTCATCAAATACAGACATCGAACGCTGCCTCACCTACCACATTTCGGCAACAACACTGTAACTACGGTTGTGCTGTGCTGTTCAGGGCAGGAGTCTTAATGCTACACAAATCACTGTACAACAAAGAGAAGTGGGTAGGCATTTTTTTTCCCCACTCCTCCAAACAAATGGATTCTGGAAGCCAATACAGAGTGGATTGATTTCCAACTTATTCTGGACAATTTGTCAATTTTGAAAATACTCCCTACAGATAAATCTAACAAGCAACTATCCACACTAAGAAAGCAATTTCTGTTTACTTTTGACATTTCTGGACAAAGATATAATACTATTAAATGCGCTAAGCATTAAATTGCAATATATTTTCCGTCTGCAGAAAAGCATTAGGATGCGATCAAGCCAAGCTGGCAGCTCGCGTACCTTCAAAATACATTTTAAAACCTTATTATTATTTGGAAATTCATATTAATGCCAGCCTGCAGCACAATCCGGAGGATTAGTCATGGGAACAGAAACCAAAAAGCTGTGTATTTTTTGTAGCTTGCCCACTGAGCTACAGTGTGACCTTAAGGAAGTCACTTCAGCTCTGCTTCTTTGTGCTCTTCCTATCTTTTGTCTGGCTTACCCAATTAAACTGTAAAATCTTCAGAGAAGGCACTGTATTTTACTACGGTTATTAGCATAAAGGGGCGAGGATCTTGGTTATAATCTCTGGCCACTGCCACAACACAAATAGGTAGAGCTGGGACTCACCAACTCTTCTTCAAAATATCTCAATGGAGTAAATCTAAAGGCATCTCTAAAAATAAAGTTTCTGTCTAGACTATTTTTTTATATATTTTGCTGCTATGTTCTTTTTTTTTAATTCAGAACCCTCTCATTTTCTAGAGAATCTTATACTCCTACATTATATGTCATGCTAATTAAAGCATCTTGTTAAGCATAAACACTGAAAAAAATGTCGTGTTTGCTTTAAGTTGGCCCTAGAATTTAATGTTAGCACTGTATAAGCCCTTTGATATATATAAGCACTTTTCCTAAATAGTACTTGATGGTACTTTGATTAAGGTATTGTGATCAGCTTCAATGTATGTTAACAAATTTTTCTTTTCATGGTAATAATAGACAGGACCATTGCAGTTCACTGCTCGCAGTTTAAGTTAACTCTTGGATGCTATACAAAACGGAAGCCATGAGGATATCTAACTTCCTTACACACCATTTAACTTACGTTCTAAGGGTAAACAGTCAATATAAGACCACCTACTCAATTCCACAGGTGAGAGTTTTGAGAGCTGCGTATGACTCGCTTCCACTGGTTACAGGACTTTACTGCAAAACTAAGAATTCTACATTAAGTAACTAGTATTTCAGGGGTGACGGAGATAAACCCATATTCCTCTTCCTTATTTAAACGCAGTGTGTGTTTTCTGAAGCTGTGTTTCCATGTTTAGGAGTACTTAACTTCACAGAACACAATGGCATGAGGAACCTCTACAAATGACCAACTCTGTTCTAGAGCAGTCGATGCTGTCCTAAGCAGCGAATGCACCTAGACGGTGTTTCTACACTGACTGAAGAGTTGCTCCAAGGAGGCTGCATGTTCACGTGGAAGTTGGAGACAAGATCAGGAAGGAGAGTTTGTATGGATGGCACCGAGTACTTCTACTGTGAGTACTGTGGTATTGAACACTTACTTCTGCCACTGATAGTGTTTTCCCATGGTACCTGTAAATTGAGTTCTTTAATAACCTCCTTTAGCTCTATCTATTTTCAATGCAAGTTATTTGGCAAGAGGTTAAAGAAAAGGGAAAACACTACTGTAAACAAAACAAACCTGATTTTTAAGACCTAGGCGTAGCCTGAAAGTTGCATTCACTACATCTAGATGCACTCGGAAAGTCATGGCTTAGAAAGGGGTCGGGGGGAAAGAAAGAACGAACAAACACAGCACCTACACTTTCAGACCTGTCAGTTTCCTGGAAACCACTATTCCATAAAAGTAGCTTGACTAAAAATAATAATAAAACTTGTTAAAAGAAACAGTTCAGAAGACTTGAGTAAAATTCATCTAGTCAACCACAAACTTCACTGATTATCTTCACACAAGTGGAAATTTTTGAGGCTGATTCAGAAATGACCTGCAAAGTTGTTAGGAGCAAAAGTTACATTTAAAATGATAACCACCTATTCCAGTATAGAAACATTGCGCACTCCTGGATAAAGAAGCAGCAGGTAAACCTATAGGAACTCTGGTTCCAACCTGACAACAGGCTCCTGCTATTGAATACTACAGTAATTCTCTCCATGATGTTAATTGCAACTTGAATTTAAAATAAAAGGAAAATGACCAAAAAGACAAACTAACAAAACCAAATCCAAATAACTCAGGTTTAAGTACTCCAAATATTGTCTATTTTCTTTGAAGGAAAAATACTTAAATGAAGTGATCATCTATTTTTGAGGTTTTCTGTCATTAAAAAGAAATAGATGAAGATTAATGAAGTAAAAATTAAAACCCCATATTGAGTTTTTAACCTCTGGTCATTTTTGTTGATTATAGTCCTATAAAGAAGGGCAGAACTTTGATAAATAACATGTAACTGTAAACCCATAAAGCTGCAGCTAGCTAGAACATCTCTAAATAATTAGTGTTTGATTCATATGGGAAGAAAACAGTGCCAGGTCTATATCCATACTACCTCAAGAGGGAAATCCTTTATGCTGACATCTACAAAAGATTGGCAGTAATGAGGATCCATGTAAATCAAACTGTCATCTACAAGGACAAAACAGAAGACAAGTAATTCAAAAAACACCTTATTATTACACTGCTTACAATCCAATTTCTATGCAGAACAGCTGAAAAAAAAAAAGCCAGTAAGGAACTGCTTGCCAGGCTGATATTCATTGACTGAAGCATAGGTTTTTGCAGGACAGATTAACTTTTGCATAATCAAATATGCTTGTATAAGCAGAATTTTTATAAAGTGATGAGACTGTCATTTAATTTTTGGTGATAAAATTACTTTTACAAACACACAATTATATTCTGGAGTTTGCATATGAAAAATGTATTGTGCTACTTCATCCTGACAGGAAGAATATATTGCTTGTCATTTAAGCATCAACTAACACCACTTAAACTAGTAAAAAGTAAATACGTAAATAAGAACTGCCAGATAGTAACAGCAAACGCTCCTGAAGTTTGGTGAAACAGATAAATTATGCCTTGTTTATGCAACAACGGAAATTAAATGTACATTTTACAGAATCCAATTACTATATGGGGTAAATGACAAATGACTGGACTTTGGTAGATATGATGAATTAATAAGGTACTCATTTTGCTATTTTAATCATGCTATTTCCCACTGGTTTGATATTAACTTCCTAACTCTTAAAGAAAAATATTGAAGAGACATAACATATTAAAACACTAACCTTGAAATCCGGCAAAGTAATACGACTGCTTGGGTTTGCCACCAATAATACCAATACAATACTCAAGGCTTAAGATTCCCTATAAGCAGAACAGTAAATAATTAGGACAGTGTTAAAACACATTAAAATCTTTGCTCTTTCTCTACTGTTTTTAGGCGAGTAACTTTGTTTTCTTGGGGTTTTGTGTGTGTTTTTTTTTTTTTTAAAGACTGACTTCATGATTTTCTGGGGCTTAACTCAATTGTTAGAAGCTTACAACTGGCCAAAGTGAAAACATACCACCAGATATTCCAGAGAAAGTCCTCCCTTTCCATGAGATGCTCATACATTGAGAGAACCGTCAGTGTCATTTTCAGGGAGGAGACAAAATGTAATGTCATACAAGTTCAGCACTGGTTGCTTAGTCAAAACATAACAAAGTATTCAGATTTACAGAGTTCATATACATTTACATTCTGCGGCCCTGGGGGTTCTCTTCTTTTTGCATTCCAATGTAGAAGTCTGTCTAGAGTATGAACTTTTACATCAGAGGGAGAAATGCTGATTGAAGCAAGAGTAGTTACAAGATCCAGCTCTAAAATCAGCAGCCCAAAATATGGGAGAAGAGACACACAGACCCCCCCCCCAGATGAGCCCCATAAATCTTAACTGGATGTTGACTGCGAGGGTAGAGGAATCAGAGCCATTGGTATGTGGCAACTTTGAGAAAGAGACATTGCTAATACACCTAATGGGATTTCAAGAGGGACGTGGGGTGAAATACAGGAATCTTTTCAGTCTGAAGGTGTAAAGAAAGAAATATACTCCTGCAGCCACTGCAAAGTAAGGGGCCACCAAGGACAGAAATAGTTGGGGTATCAGCCGTGGGCTACAGTCACACCAGTGCTGCCAGTGTATTTCTGTTCATCCAGATTGAAAAGAGTTGGGTTCTGTTATCCGTGTGTCTGTGCTGGCACACAAACCTAGCAGACTTAGCATTACGTAAGAAAATGTTGATTTTATGGATATACATTCTAGCACTGGGAATAAGGGTTTACCCATCAACTCACAATTTTGCCAAAGGAAGAACATTGCAGTAGTTTAACTAACTGAAATTCCTCTGTCACCCACGAGCTCTGGATGCAGTCACAGACTATGGACACCAAAGAAATCACCCTTGATGGTCTCTCTGTTGAAAGAAGTACCTAGCAAAGGAATGGAAGAAGGCACGGGGGGCTTTCCTCCCTCTCCCTTCAACATATTTCTACCCTTCTCGCTTTCATAAGGTTCCGTTTCTTAACAGGGCTCATTAGGATTTTTGTGAGTATTCAGTCTTGGCTTAACACAGTTCTCCATTAGTTATCCCACCAACTCCAGTGGGAGCTGACTTGTGCCAACATTGAGTACTTTGGAAAGCTGAGCCCAACTGTTCTAACGCAACTGAAGTCCAAGACCATTAAATACTCTGAAAACTGAACAGCCTTGCAATGTCCATAAATCACAGTGCTTTTCTTGGGGCACTAGACAAGTGTTGGGTCCAAAAACTTGGACGCTGGCCCAAACTGGGACAGCAATCCAGAAGACTATCAGTGGAGCTAAAGTGAAATCTCCATCAGCTGGCAGTCGTTATCTACATCCTTGCCTCTAAGAGATCAGCCATTAAAAGCATAACCACTACATTATCATTATATAAGTAGGGAAAACTTCTCTCAACAAAATGATTGATATTTCAGGTACTAATAAGACCAAAGCTGTTCGGGATAAAATTTTCTCTGCGTAGTAATGCAACGTAACAAAACTGTTGTGCTCCTCACCTGAGATGCTAACAGAGTCAACTTCAGCGAGGTTTATATGGATTAAGAGAAAATGCTGCCTATTTAAAATACGAATGAGAAGACTTTTTTAGAAAATGCTCCTCAATGGCTGAGCACTCAGAGCATTTAGGCTGATCAGAGGCAAAGGCTGAAACAGCTATGGAGGACACGTCCTCTGCCAGTGAAACAGAAAGGGAGCAAAGCTACTTAGAGTAATGAATAACTGTTTAATCTATGGGAATTTTCTTGTAGAAGTGAATTATAAAAAATTTATCAATTTTCATCCATAAATATAAAATCCTTTGTAAAAATTACCTCTTGTACTACATTCTAAAATCTGCATTTTTAACTTAAAGCCAGACCCCAAGAAATTTAGTCACTTCTTGTGAACAGTCAAGCTAAAGATCGGAGTGACTAATATATGCAATTGAAAGCCCTCTTATCACAGTCTCCATTATAACAGACTGCAAAAGGCAGTACCAGGCTTGGTAAATGAGCAGCAGAAATCACCCCAGTAAGGCCAGTTGTACAAGGCAAGCTTAAATAACATGACTCTGCTGTGAAACCCAGTGCCACGCAAACATATTTTACTCTGGCAAAAGCGTGTTTTTGAGAGCTAAATTGAGAAAGCCTCTGCAGGGTAAAACTAGCCAGATATCCGTCAATAATAAAAGCTGGTATTAAAGAACTGGAGTCACTTTTCTTTTGCTGAGAAAGCCTTATGAAAGTTGCAGTAGCAACTGTTTGTTAGCTTACAAACGAAGGCACTGTGTGCTTTCCTGGACCTGACTGATTCAAAGGCTTTTTTGCAGTTAACATTGAAAGTAAAGTAAGGTTGCCGTAGATCATGTCTGAAGACCGCAGGCTTATCTTAACTGTATGAACTAAACTTTTCCAAAATCAACTGTCTGAAAATACATGGAAAAGAATCAGGAAAGAAAAACAATTTAATATTTCATCGCTAAAATAAAAGGCTTCATCGTTGTGTCTCTCCATGCCATTAAAAAACAAATGTTTTCCTAAAATTTTACAGAGAAGAGAGTGACAAAAAAAAAATAATAATTACAGACTCTCAAATTTTGTTCATGCTACTACTACACTGTGGTATTTTAAAAATTAAATTAAGAGTTTAAAGACACATAAACAGCAGCATGGAAAACGATAAAGCAGCAGGGCTAGGAGAACAATCTCTTCCGTAAGAGAAGTATTCTTGTGCTGAAGAGGCAGGATTACCGCACATCCTCAGGTGCTCGTGCTATAAGCAGAACCCCTGCTGAAAAAAAAAAACAAACCCAAAAAGGGGGGGGAGGGGGATGGAGGGACGGACAGGACACACAGCACAGACTTTCCTCCCCCTCTGCTTTCTCCTTGAGTTTTACTTTTTTCCAGCTCATTTATATTTGTGGTAACTGCTTGCTACTCCTGCATCCCTGTCCTTAGAAACATTCATCCTAACGTCCAGATAGTGAAAAAAACCACTTGAAGTAGTGACTAAAGGTATCAAAAAATTATAACCCCTCTCTTAAGGGGAAGAAAAAGACAAAAGAAAATGGGAAGAACAGAGAAGCAACAACCTTAAGCCATTTACATTTAAGAAAATAAGAAACAGAATAAGGAATTTAGTATATTTATGTTTTAAAATGCTGACTGATACTTAATATAGCACAACTCTAATAGCATATGTAACTAAATTACCATTTGTAATTTGAGCCACGGCATTAATGACTTTTCAGGTAGCTACTTTAGGAGCAGGACAGTTATCTCTGCTTTACCAAGGGACATCATGTGCTCTGCAATTATGTCTGATCTTGTAATAGGGAAATTTAAAATCTGTAAAGTCAAACTTTACAACCTTCAACTGTAAAATCACCACCACACATTTAATAGGTAGAAGATTACCATCATGAAGTCGCTTTTCATATCACCTAGTCCTACTATTTAAAAAATGATTGAACTCTCATTTCATACCTTTACAAACTCTAAGTAGTCCATGTTTGTTCTCTCTCCACCGAGTCTCACAGGAACTAATATAATTACAGCTTTTGTGTCTGCTTTTCCAGAATCCATAAAAGAACATTGTCTGTCAATAACATCTGAACTGTAGACTGAAAGGAGACACATGCAAATGTTCATATTTAAAATACAATGCTTACCTTTTACAAAGACACAACTACAACCTGTCAAGACTTAGTTTGACAAACTAAAA